CACCCCCAGCCTGGGTGAGACTCAAGTTACAGCCAAGCTCTTTGGACAACAGCCTGAGTATGTCCATGGCCACCAGGGCAAGAAGGGCTGTGGGAGGTCACAGAGCCTCAGACCACATCTGCCACCACCAGGCGAGCCTGTGAGGAGAGGATACCTTCCAGAGAAGGCAGGTTGGTGGAGCGGCTGCAAGCACACCCCAACTCAAATGCCAGTTCTCCACCCACTAGCTGTGCGGCCTCAGGCAGGTCACCTGACCTCTCTGAGCCTTGTTTTATAAGATGGAAATTACTTTAGTACCTACCACATAGAGTTGTTCCAAAGATCTAATGGTCATTAGTGCAACCAAAACAGTCAAACAAGATGAATAAGCTCTAAAACAGTCAAATGAGACAAATAAGCTCTAAGATCTGCTGCACAACATTGTGCCCAAAGTCAACATTAATGTATTATACACTTAAAAATTTCTATAGAGTATAAATCTCATATTAAGTGTTCTTACCACAAATAATAAAATGAAATAAAATAAAATGAAAACATGCAACTATCATGTGATCCAGCACCTGAACTCTTGGGCAGGCCCAGAGAAATGAAAACTTATGTTCACACAAAAACCTGTAATGGATGTCATATTCATAATAGCTCCAAATGGGAAACACCCCATATGTCCTCTCCACGTAGAATATGTTATCAATGGGGGCAATATTAACCCCAAATGGACAAAAACTGGTTCGGGCTACGCCTTAACAGTCTTAGATATTTCCATGGTTTGGGCCCTCCAAAGCTCCCCCCTCCCTGACAAAATCTTGTTCATCAGTATTTAACTTCTCTCATTAAATCAAAATTAAAGTGTTCCTTTTAGGGGGTGATAATGAGAAAAAAAGGCTGGGAAATCCTGTCTTAAAGGTATTTACATGCATTTACAAGGGATGGTTTCATGGTGTGGTGACAAAAGCAAGGATGGAACACTCAGCATAGGTTGGATACAGTTGTGCCTCAGTTTCCCTACCTACAAAATCAGGATGGTTTATGTAACAGGGTGCCTGTGAGAGTAAATAAGATGATTTATATAAATTTATATGAAGTATTCGCTGTTTTTGTTATCATCATCCCCATTTTATGAGGAAAGAGAAGGACGGAGATATCAAAACACTTGCTCCAGGGCACAAAACCTTGGAAGTGCCAGAGGCTAGCCCCACAGCTGCTGGGTTGGCTGGGGTGTGTCTGCGTGTGTGTAACAGATTTCTCCAGTTGAGTCTTTCCTGTCCCTCTCTGAGAAGTCGATTCTGTCATGGACGGCCCCAAGTGGAAACTGGCACAGGCTGGCAGCCCCCATCCTTCTCTTTGGGCACTCATCCGATTCGGGAATGCCCAAGGGTGAGCCTCTGGCTGGGGCATTGGGCAGTCGCTTGTTGCTCCCTGCAGGTGGAACTGGGAAATGCAAGCACCTAGCTTTTATTCGGAGTTGTCTAGATTTGGGAATGCTTGTTTTTCACTCCCTCTTTCATCCTCTACAATCGGGCCACAGTAGTACAAACTAAAATGCACATTACCCATTGAACCCGTAAAATATGTCAGTAAAAGAAAACAGGACATCTAAATGCACACAAAAAGCTTTGCTCAGTGGCAGTATCATAGCCACTGAGGTTTATCCGAGGCGGGATTATTGCTCATTGAAAACTTTTCCCAATACCCCGCCTGGACGACTTGAAATATAGTCGGCACCGGCAACTTTTGACGGCCTCTACGGAGACTGAAAACAAATAAACAAATAAATAAAATACACGCAAAACACTCAAAAAGACGTTGGGTTTTAAGAAATGAGTTTTGTCAAATTGGCTTCACGGCGGGGGAGGGGGGGCAAAAAAACAACAAGCCGGAAGTGGGTGCCAAAGCCGGAAGTGTGTCAGAGACAAGGTGGAAAGGAGTCAGTAGAGCCGGATCCTCCAGGCCCAGCCTGTAACCCAGAGGTGTGGCCCGAGTCAGATGCCAAGGGCGCATGAGCAGCGCCTAGCTCGGCCAATGAAGACGAAGTGAGGCGGGAGTTCGGCCGGATATAGTGTTCTCAAACAGGAAGCGTGGTAGTTTACTCCTCAACTGCGGACTGGCGCCATGGCGGCCTACGAGCAGGTCCAAAAGGGGCCCTTGAAGCTAAAAGGCGTCGCAGAGCTCGGCGTGACTAAGCGGTGAGTCCCACGAGCCCGCGGCCACCCATCTTCTGCCCCCTTAAGCCACTTTCCCAGACCCCGGGCTCTTGCTCTCAGACCCAACCTTACCCCATATTGCCCACCGCCGCCACTACCACCACCCGTCTCCCCTCCCAGGAAGAAGAAAAAGAAGGACAAAGACAAGGCGAAACTCCTGGAGGCCATGGGAACGAGCAAAAAGAACGAGGAGGAGAAGCGGCGCGGCCTGGACAAGCGGACGCCGGCCCAGGCGGCCTTTGAGAAGATGCAGGAAAAGCGGGTGAGGCGGGTGGGTAGGCTGGGGGTGCCCAGCTCCGTGGGCCTGGGTCTCCCGGAGCAGGTGCTTAGGAAGGGCCGGGAGACGGAAACTCGGACAGCCCCGGGACTCTTGGAGGAGGGCAAGCGGTCAGAAAGGACTTTAATTCCGGGGAGAAGATGCTTTGTGAGAGAGGAAGAGCCCACTACTTGGGGAGCTGCTCAGGCTCAGTGGATGGCAGAAGAAGAGCTAAAGGTGGCGTTGAAAGGAGCCAGAGCTGGAGACCCGGGTTTGAATTCCAGTGCTGTCCCTCATTTGCCCAGTGGCACTGAGCCAGTAACTCATTGTTTCCCAGTGCCGCACTTTTCTCATCTGTTGGGGTCAGGATAGAACTTTTTCTTAAGAGGGATGGGACCTTTGAAATGCAAGTTTATAGCATTTTTCACTAGGTGTGGTATAGAGTCAATGCTCAGTTGATGTTAGCTGTTGATATTAAATGGCCATGCTCGCAGCTGTAAGACACCACAAAGTCTGTTTTCATGACAACGTTGTTGGCAGATTCAAGTATGTTTTTTAAGTCTCTGTTAAATTACTTATTTTAATATTACACCATAAATGTGGGCAGTGGGGGATAGATGGGATCAGCCTTAGATATATAAACTTGGCCTTTATGCTGGTGGAGGGAATAATAGGTCTAGGTCAGTGGTTCTTAACTGAGGGCCATTTTGTCCCCCTACTTACATTCCCAAGAAGTCATTGGGCAGTGTTTAGAGACGTTTTTGTTATAACTTAGGCTGGGTGCTATTGGCATCTAGTGGGGTGGGGGCTAGGGATGCTGCTAAGACATCCTACAATACTTGAAACAGCACCCCCTACAGAAAAGAATGATCTGACCCAAAATTTCAACAGTGTCCAAGCTGAGAAACCAACGGTGGTCTGGGTGATTTGGTCCAGCGACATTAGGGAAAAGTTTACTCATAGCTCCTAGGCCTAATTCAGTTGGCCAAGAAAAAGTGAGATGCACTGGCTTTGGCAAGACAGGCCTGGGTTCCACTCTGTCTGTTTGTTGGTGGTGTAACTCTGGGCAAGTTGGCTAACCTCCCACAGATTCATCTGTAAAGTGGGACTGTAAAGTCCTTATTTCATTGGTTTGTGGTGAGGATTTAACAAATGAGTTCACTTAAGTCCCTTCCCTAAGGTTATAGTCAGAGGCAGGGCTGGGATGTTACTCTTGGAGCAGGGGAGTGGTAGAGGAGAGGCTAATGCAGACTTCAAGGTCAGGCAGTAATGGTGGAAGCTGTGGAAGGAACTGGGTTTGGGATAGATTTTGAATGAACAGCAGGATCAACTGATGGGTTGGGTGTGGGCTGGGAAAGGAGAATCAAGGATGACCAAGATTTTTGGCAGGAGAAGCAGGGTGAATAAAGGTACTGGTTACTGAGATAGGAAGGACTGCAGGTAAAATAGGTTTCTAAAGGAAAGTATCAAGACCTTGGTTTTAGAAGTCAAATTTGAGGTACCTGTTGGAAATCTAAGTGGAGAATTCTCGTGGACAGTTTGACATCTGAATATGCAGTTTGGTGGAGAGGTGGGCTCCAGATAGACATTTGAAATTGCTGTGGGACTGGATGAACTCCTCTGAGGAGGGACAGTGACAGAGAAGAGGTATAAGTTCTGACCTCTGGTGATTAGAGGGTGGCAGAGAAGAAACTGCAAAGGAGCATGGGAAGGAGGAATAACAGGAGAGATCGTATTTTAGAGCCGAGTGGAGAAAGTGTTTTGAGGAGGAAGAAGTGATCAACTGTGTATATGCTGCCAAGAGGTCTTGTGGGTGAGCACTGCCCTTAGTTGGCTTTTAGAATGTCAATTATAATTAAAAATAAATTTAAAAAGAAAGGCAGATTAGAGTGGATCCAAGAGAACGGGAAAGGCAGAGGTGGAGACGAGGAAGAAAAAATGGGTCTTGGAAGATTTACTGTCTCCCAAAGGGAACAGAAAAATGGGCCTGTAGCTGGAAGTAGTGAAAGGTCAAGATTAAGTTTTTGTCGTTTGCATTTAAAACCAGAAGTACTGTTACTGGTTGTGTTTGACCCGGGAGAGAGAGAGGTGAGGTGGATATGAGAGAAGGGAGGTGTGGGCAAAGCTAGGTACAGTTGGACAATGCAGATTCCCTTATGGAAGGTGTTTGATTGAGCACAGGGAGCACAAAGGCTGGACAGCTCCTGGGTCCTGGGTGCAGGGCCCTTGGGGTGGGCCCCTACCTGTTGGAAGGGGTCAGGGCTTGGTATCTCCAGGCTCATCACCCGCTGTGCACTCTGGTGCTTATTTTCTCAGTGTGTGAAGTGGAGATGGTGACAGCATCCAAGACACCCTGTGAACTTGGTGCATGGAGTGGGGAGAGAGGGCAGAGACCTCCAAGGGTCTGGAATTGATGACAGCGGCTCAAGTCAGTTCGGGCTGTTTTGAGGAGATAGGGGCCTCATATGGGTTCACAGCAGCAGGAGGCAGGGATGGACAGGGCAGACACTTCAGAGGGAGGGTCAGCCATTTGGGAGCTGACTGGAGGCAGAAGATGAGGCAGCAAAGGAGAACAGAAGGGACAGGGAGCAACAGCCAAGTGGTAGCTGACAATATTATCTCATGGGTGTGTGGGTTGACTGGGCTCATCTAGGTGGTTCTTCTGACCTTGCTTAGAGTTTGGTGCATTCAGATGGCAGCTGGTGCTGGAGGCCCAGCTGTGCTGGAACATCTAAGATGGCTTTGCCGTCACACGTCCAGTGCCTCAGTGCTTCTTCCATGGACTCTCTTCCCACATGTCATTTCATCTGCCAGGTCCTTTCTTTCCAGTGAGGTCATCAGACCTCCTGCAGTATAGCTGGCTTCCAAGAGCACAAAACAAAAGGTGCTGGGTCTTCTTATGGCTTCTGGCTAGTACTGACACTACATTGTTAAGTAAACTGAGTCATGGTGCCAGTCCAGAGTCAGTGTAGTCAGATAACTGCACAAGACCATGAATACCAGGCAACGCAGTTTCTGGATGTACAAGAGTGGGGGTGGGCCACCAAAGTGAGTCGGCCACAGCCACCTAGCTAGTAAGTATAGAGCCAGATGCAGCCCCAGGTCTGTTTGGCTCTGCATCCCATGCTCTTAACTCTTAACAGGTACCATTGGGTATTGTGAATGAATAGTGGGGAAGGTCGTAGCTGTGCTGGATACATAATCTACAATCACTCATGAAGGTGATCTGCATCTTGTAGCCCTTTTGGCACTGTGAGCATCAGGATGGATACTGTCGCTCAAGCACCTATTATGTGTCAGGCCCTTTGCTCGTTTCTCATCCTTTCTCAGATCCCATCTGGGACTTTCTTTTTCTGAAAAATAGGAATTCTGTCAATTGCCCAAGGAAGTAGGAAGCACTTGCTCCCAGCAGAGTCTACCCAGGTCAGTGCTAGCACATTTCCTGCCACTCAGACCAAAAGAGCAGCTGACTTGGGTTTCTAGTGGAATATATTGTGGCCAGGTGTCCCTGTCAGACCAGCCTGAGTGGAATTGAGGGACCTGACACCTCCAGCTATTCTAGGTATGAGAGCCAGGCCAACTGGGGCTCCCATCTTCCATCTTGTACTGGCCTGGGTATGTCAAGCATGTGACTGACCTGTACTTCTCTCCTATCTTCCAGCAAATGGAAAGGATCCTGAAGAAGGCCTCCAAAACCCACAAGCAAAGAGTGGAGGTAAGTCACGTGTCCAGTGGAGGAGGCTGAGCCGTGTAGGTCCCAGCTGGGCCCAGAGGCTTAGAGCCAGGCAGAGGAGTCATTGGAGTGTCAGTGGGGAGGGGATTTACCCAACCTCCCTGGGGTCATTGAAGGGAGAGGCCAGGGTTCAGGCAGCTATAAGGCCTGGCAGGGTGGCTTTGAGACACTGAGGGGAGACACAGTGTGAAGTGGGAATGGATGATGCCACATGTCCCCAGTACCCTGCTTGGCGCTGTGATGATGTGGGCTTTTTCCTCTGCTTCCCCAGGACTTCAACAGACACCTGGATACACTCACAGAGCACTATGACATTCCCAAAGTCAGCTGGACGAAGTAGCCTCCCTGCCCAGAGTATGGATTGGCACCGAGAGGAAAAAGGCGGCCAGGTTGTGGTTATGTTTGGTGCCTTTGGTATTTTCTAGAAATACTCTTTTACACACACCCTGTGTCTTCTGCTTAGACAGTGCTTTTCAAAGTGGTGTGCCCTAATTCTGTAACTTGATTAAAGTAAGACCATCGTTTTACTCTATTTTAGTTTCTCAGTACCACATTGAAGATGAACCTATTTAGTATGGACTAGAAATTATTGAGAGTTTATCCAGAGATTAAGGTTATTTCTGTGTAAATGCCATGGAAGTGTTTTACACCCAAGTTGCATCTAACTTATTTTGACAGTCAGCCAGCTGTCTCTGCCTGGATAAAACTGACTCCAGAGGAGAAGCAGCTGCAACATGAAGACCCCCATGGGGCCCTTCATGGGCTGCCCTTCCAAGCTCCCTCTAGCTTGGGGCTTATGCTATTTCATCCAGGGCCTGGAGAAGCCACTTGCAGCTTTGTGGCCTTCGGACTGCCTTCTCAGCCCACCTGGCCAGGGAGAATAGCTGTTCAAGGCAAGGATGGAATGAACACCTTGCGCCTTGCTGAGCTGAGCTGAGCTGGTGGCTGGCATACAGCCTTTTTCCCAATATTCCCATTCCAGACATGTCAAGTTGGTGTTGCCATGGCAGACATTGCCAGTCAAGCACCATGTTCTTTGTAATGGAACCCAGACACGGCCTGCCTTGCTATCCTCACCCCTCCAGGCAGGCCCCAATGTTTGTTCAGAGTTGGCATATACATGGAGCCTGTTTAGTGTTCCTGGCCTAAGGACATCTCAGGGTAATGGGACCAGGGCAGAGCCCCAGCACAGATAGACAAGGATGCAGTCCAAGGGGAGCACCCAGGTTCCAGTGCTACAGAGCCAGAGTCTTTGAGGGCCTGTGTGTCCCCACCTCATGAGGATCAGACTGCATATGCTGCTAGGAGAAACAGTCTCTGTTGACAAAGATCTAAAAAAAACCAACAAATTCAGAAGAGAAAAATCTAAGTGTTGGGTTTGGGGCTGTCATATGTGAACTGCAGAATAAAGCAAAACCAGTTATTAAATATAAGTCTGAGTGTTTTAATTATAGGCTATTTTTCACTTAGAAACTCCGCCTTTTGGAATAATTTCACATGAAGGATGTGTGCTGCAAAACAATTATTTGCCCTCAGTTTGGAGAAAATTAGATGTGTTTTCACACATCTAATGAAAACAACCTGTGGTTCACAACCCACCTAAGGGAGATGGCATACTCTCATTACCACTGGCTCCTTTGGGCAGCCTTCCCAATTACCTGGTGGAAAGGCACTTGCAGATTTTCATCCACGAGCCAGTGGTTGGAGTCTAGGCATGATGTCCTGTGAAAAGTCAGTATGTGGAAGATAAACATTCCAATTCTCCCTGCCTAACAAACGGCTCCATAACCAAGTGGCTTGAAACCACAGGATTTCTCTCTTCCAATTCTGTTGGTTGGTTGTGCTCAGCCGGGTGGTTCTTCTCCATGTGGTGTAGTTTAGTTCCCTTGTATAGCTGTGTTGACTTGCCTGGAGCCAGAAGGTCCAAGATGGTATCTTATCCTTGAGATTTCTCTCCACATAGGCTATTTCATTGGCCAATACAAGCCACGTTACCCAGGCTGGGAGGGAACTACTCAAAGGCCTGAACACCAGGAGACATCGCTTATTGGTGGCCATCACAGTCTTTCACAGTGGCTCAAATTCTGTTGAATGTTAGACATTAAAAACCACTGATACTACCTGGGGTGGGGCTCGGTCATTGAAATTTTTCAGAGCTCCCCAGGTGACCCTAATATGCAGCAAATTTTGAGAAACTCTGATTTACCACAATAAGTACTTTTTTTTCTGAGATATTGCAGAGGCTAAATCTGGCCTACACATTTAAATATAAATGTCAAGGATGAAATTCAGATGTGACTCAAATTCCTCCACATAAGGAAAAAAGGTTACAGGTAACTTATGTGAAGAGTGTACTGTGACAGTCATCTTGGAACTTGGGAGTCTGTTTCCTAAAAATATGTTTATCCTCCCAGCCCCTGTGATACTGTATTAAACATCTAAAATGCCCAGAGCAAGCCTAAAAGGAAATGTCCCATATGAGAGAGATCATCTTTCCTGGCTGGTTTTTCTTTTTGCCTTTTTGGCATTTTCTAAGTTTTTCCTCAATGCAATGTATAGTTTTGTAGTTTAAAAAGGACATTTTTCTAATACTGCCAAAATATGAAGCTAGATACAATAGGGTTTCTTATAAGAAAATTGTCAAAAAGCCTCTCTGGGCTGTTTTGTGCAAGAAGGCTTCCAGATGACGATTTACTTAGCAGTCCTCAAATATTCCAGTGTTCTTCTCTGGATTTTTCTGCATTTACATTTCTGTCCTAAGCAGAGGATATATTACAAAAGCCATCTTTCAAAACCCCAGATGGAGATAGAGGAGGAACGATTAAAAGTGAGAGGCAGGCACCCTTGTCAGATGTGCAGTTGGTTGGAGTGTTGACCTGTCACATCCCAAGGCTGCAGGTTCAATCCCCAGGTTGGTGTGCCTATGGGAGGCAAGTGATCAATGTTTCTCACATTGATGTTCCTCTCTCTCTAAAAAAAATCAATAAAAATTTATCCTTGGGTGAGGATTAAAAAAAAAAAATGAGGCAGGCAGTGCAAATAAATGGTTCTGATGCTGCAGGGTTGGGATCCCCAAGGCACTGTGATGAAGGCATTTTCCCACAGCCCAAATGTTCATAAAAGCAAATGAGATACATCCAATTCAGTTGACTAATCAGGGGTCACAATTTGCATTATCCATCGGTGGCAACTAACTACAGAAATAAAACACATAGCCCAGCTGGCGTTGCTCAGTGGTTGAGCATCGACTTATGATCCAGGAGAACCGGGAAGTCAAGGCACATGCCCGGGTTGCCAGTGGGAACCCCAGTGGGGGTCGTGCAGGAGGCAGCCCATCAGTTACTCTCTAATCATGGATGCTTCTCTGTCTTCCTCCACCTTCCTCTCTGAAATCAATAAAGATATGTTTTAAAAAAATAAAAATAAAAAATAAATAAAACACGTGCTTTTGGCCCAGGTTCAATGGGGGCGTGGTTTTCAGATCATTCCAGGCAATAAACAGGCACGCTTGTTCACTGATTCTAACAGGTGACAGGTGGTGACTTGATTAGGCTTGATTGCAATTCAGGGTTAGTTTGTGCTCTTTCCAAGTAACCACCACCTTACCCCTCCCCATTAAAGCGTATCACAATTGGTCACTGCATATTTATTTGTTTCCTAGACTCCCCCAGCAGAATAGGTGTTCCATAGGGCTGGGCCCACGTAGATACATCAGGGGATCTCTCACCTAACAGTCCACAGGACGGAGTTTTCACCAGCCAAGTCTTCGACAGCAGCTAGAGGTGCCCTGTATCAGTTGGCTCTGCCGGCAGGCCCTTCTGGATCTTACTTCCGGGATGCTTTAGGTGGGAGAGAGAAATAAGGTCGCAACGGCTGTACTGCGCTTGCGCATACTGCACTCTGCGCCTGTGCGTTCCTGGCAGCTCCTCCCCCTACCGGACATAACGGTCCGCGCGCGGCCCTTTGGACCGGAAGTGGAGTCGTGCTGTCGCTGGGAGTGCCTGGCCTTACTCAGCGCCCGGCAGTTCCTGCCGTCGCCGCCGCCCTCGGCCACTGCCGAGGCTTCCCGCAGCCGCTATGTCCGCCAGTGCCGTCTACGTGTTGGACCTGAAGGGCAAGGTACGAGGGCTCTCCACCCTCCCCGTTGCCGGGCAACCGGCGAGTAACTAGTCCCTGGGGACCCACCCTGTTGCTGGGTAACCACCGACCAGTGGGACCCACCCTGGTCCTAAGCAAAGAAACCAATAGGTCTCGCCCTGTTGCCAGGCAACCGATCAGCCCGACCCCTATTTCCCTGTGGGCGGGAACTCAGACCTCGGTGAGGGCCGCGGGGAGGGTGAGCCGCTGCTGGCTTTGGAGCCAGGCCTAGAGCTGAGCAGCTGCTGGACCCTGGGTGCTCTCGGGCCAGCCCCGCCCTCTGGGAGTACAGCAGGTTCTGTTTATCCGGCTGTTTCTCTGTGCCAGTCTGTGTATGAATTTATTAACATTCGTTGTGACATTAAGTTACAAGGGTTCGGTGAGATAGGTGGTGGGAGAACTGTTTTACAGAAGGAAGAAACTGTGGTGAAGTTCTACAACCCACCCAAGGTCACACTGGTCACAGAGAAGTGGCAGGTTTAGGAGTTGAACCCAGAACCATTTGTTCATTCAGCTGATAATTTGAGGAGCACTTCATAGTTGCCAGGCAGGGTGCTAAGCCTTGGGCTGCCTTGGGTGAGCAAAATCAGAGTAAGGTGCTGTCCTTCTGGAGCTCACAGTCTGGGGGCGAGGGACACTGATCTCAAAAAGCACAAATAAATGTAAACTGCAATAATGCTGGATATAATAGGGAGACTCAACCTCAGCTGGGAGTCAGGGAAGGGCTCCCTGGAGGGAATGACAAGTCTGGCTGAGACATGAAGGAGGAGTTGGACATAACTAGCACCCAGGTGCCTTTCCCAGGGGTATATGAGAAAGCTGCTTAAAGGAGGGCTCTCGAATCCTTTTAGAGGTAGTCTGCTCCCTTTTCCCTAGTCCATCCTGCTGGATGGAAAGCAAGCCTCCTGCATCTGGGAGCAACAAGAACAGATCCAACATTAAGTTTTAAGTCCCACATTGATCAGTTAGAGACTGTGGGTGTCCAGCCTAGGTGGGGCAGGCAGGAGTTAGCTTAGAAGCAGGGGAAAGTGAAATGGAAGTGATTGCTGCTTCCTGCGACATTCCCCACCCCAGCACTTTCCCAGAGTTCCTTGTGTGGGTTGCCTGCCTTGGATGTTACCCAGAGTCAACAGCCGGTGATTCCCAGTGTGGGACTTTCTTCCCCAGCCTTCTTAGAGGCAAGGAAAGACAGGGCATGCCAAGGCTGATGGGTGCTAGCTGGGCCCCTAAGTCCTGGTAGCATATGTTCTTCCACCTTCGCCACGGTGTCCCCAGAGTCCCCACAGGCTGCCTGTCACAGCTCACTTGTTCCTTCAGCAGAATTTTAGCAGCACCTAACTTGCACCATGCCCTGTGCTCACCATCTTACTGTGACTGTGCAGTTAGCACTGAGGTCAAAACTCATCTCTGCTGCTCAGTGGTGTGACCTGGGGCAAGTGCCTTCACCATTCTGGGCCCACAGTCCCCACTAGCCTGCATGGGCCTGGAGATCTGGCAGGGGAAACACATGGATCCTAATGGTCAGATCCAGTTAGCTATAAGGGACTGGACAAGACCCCAGGTAATGCAGTTATCCAATCTCAATTTTGACTGGAGAGGTAGTTATGGTGCTTCCAGAAAGAGCTAGAAAAGTGACCAGGTTGCAGTCAGGTGGACAAGAAGGCATTGCCATGGGCTCAAGTGATGAGCAGCCGAAAGTTTTAATGCAGGAGCATAGACTTTGGCACGAGGAGGGCTGCAGGTGTTGATGATGTCCAGACAAGACAGAGGGCCAGAGGGGACCATTTTGATCTCCAGAAGGAGGAGCCACCATGAGGAGATTATAGCCCAGGAGAAGCATGGTCAGTCTTGCCTCGTGGGAAGCTCTTGTGGCAGCCATGGGCTTCCCTCCCATCCTCAGCAGCCATCATGTCATTTATTATTCTACTCCCCACCGACTGCATGTTTTGAAAGTTTGCCTCCTGCGTAGACTGCATTTACTCCAAAATAAGATCATGGCATGTCAAGAAATTCACAGTCACACATCTATCTGCCAACCATAGCCTCTGATCACCAAGGAAACCAGCATGGCCATACTTAGCTGATAGAAAGCCCTCAACAGCACTTCTCTGCCCTTATCTTTCTTGCTTCTTGAAGCTTCTGATACCACTACCACTCTCCTCCTCAGCAGGCTTCTGCTAGTCTCCAGGTCACTGTACTCTCCGTTTTCCTCCTGTTTCTCTCACCAGCTGCCGGTCCTTCCTCTCCTGCCCTCCCCTTGGATGTTGACCCTCAGGCTTGGGCCTAGGTGT